GCCGACGGGGGCTGAGTGTATTTCGGCGGCGAAGCGCGCGAGCGACAGGCCGAGCCAGACGATCTGAGCGGGGTGGCGGGTGGCGAGGGGCGATTCCCCCCCCGACGGCAGGGAAGCACCCTTTTCAGGATGTCTTGCCACTGAATGGGGAGCGCAGGGTATGGTGCACTATCGAATGGTGAAAATTTCAAATTTTAAATGGAAAAAAACGGAAACATAACACCTTTATCAGTACATGTCTACTCGCTCATGCCTAACTATAGTGAGAGTAGTACGATAATTTCGGCATCAATATGTAATACATGCTAATAGGAATAAACATATGACAAATAGTGGGGAATCTTTTTCGGGCGCGTACAGCAAAGATATTTGCCATTTTCTTCAACTAGTCAATAGTCAAAAAACCTTAACATTGCCTGAAGATTATTAAACACTCATATAACATCACATCGGACTAGCTTTATCTTTAGTTTATCTTGCATCGGTTGCTGAGCAACCAGTTTTGCCTTTAGAAAACCAAGCGTGCTAGGATATTACAGAAGCAACGTACGAGCAGACTATTATTAATTAAGAAACACTTAAGAACTTACGAAGTGCCAAACTAAACTAAAAGAATAAAAGTGCAACTATATAAAAATATATAGCATTAAAAACTAACCGCTCCCATAGCTTGGTCTATGTACCGCAGGTTACTGCCGGAACATACACTGGTTACGCGCGGGTGTTCCGGCCTCTAGCCGTTATCAGGCGCTGCGGTTGTAGCTTCTGCGTGCTGCGCGTACTTAAGCCTGTGCGTACGCGGCGTAGGGCAGTATAAGTACAAGTGTCGTGGGATATGCAAGCCCTGCTAGCTTATGCTTTTATCATTGGGGGGGGTTCGTTTTTAAATGTGGGCTCTTAAATTTGGCTCGCAGGCGGTACAGGCATTCTGTACCAGGGGTGCGGTCTACCGTCAACCCAAAGCTTGCCCCCGGAGACGCGAAGGCCTGGGGGTCTGGGGGGCCCGGCCCCCGAATTTTTTTCAAATTAGACCCCCTCTCAGATGCTTTTCTGCGCGAGCAAGGCGGGCTCCGGAAAACTCCCTCGAGCGACCCCCCCTGTTACACGCCCCTGACCTCCGGCGCGCAAAGCGCACAGGCGAGGGGAGCCAACGCGAGCCGCGCGTTCTACGCGTCCGAAGCGAGGAGGGCACGTGTGGTTGGCCGCGGGGCGGTTCACTGTCTCACGCCTCCCCCCTACGATGGAATTTGCTAATTATTACACTAATGCAGACACGACCTGAAGCTGAAATCTTGCAACCAGTTTCAAAGAAGGGTTCGGCCGGGGAGGGGTTGTGCGTTTACGGTTCGGTCTGGGGCGACGGATCTCGGTTCGGTGCGAATCCCCCGAACCCGCCTGGCTTATCGGGCCTGCATATGCAAGCTACGTACTGAATCATTCGACCTCGATCGAGCCTCCGAAAGCACAGAGACTCCAGGGCCCCGAAGTCCGGCTATTGGGTAAATACGGCGCTGTGCATGTTCTGTTTGCATAGAGTAAGGCTAGAGGACTTCGTCAAACTTTGTAATTTTCAGTAGCATGAATGGAAAAATGTGTCGTATAAAACTACTCTCTTTCGCATCTTTTCCCCCTCCATCTCCTCCTTTATTCCTTCTTTCTTCTTCTTGAATTTCTTTCCGACTCCATACAAATACATATATGACATATATTTTCTGCCAAAAAAGGGGGGGCCCGGGCCCCCCCGGTCCCCCCGTACGCGCCGCCCCTGCCGCAACCATACGACACGAAACGCACGCACAAAACGTACATAGACATCACGAACGAAGCGAACGGCACGCACCGCACGTACAGACATACAACGAACGCACGCACGCACGTACAAGACATACGAACGATACCGGCACGCACTCACGTACCATGGGTTATGCAGGGGGGGCGCGGTGAGGGTCGTACGACCCCCCAATTTTAAAGGTCCACATTTTTTCCAAAGACATTTTTCGAGGGCCTTTTTACAATGACATAATGATAAGATCACGGCTACAGCAATGAAGTCCAAAGACATTGCCATGCGTGACTGTAAAATTTCGGTATCCCCCCAAAAAAATTTTTCCAAGCATTCTGAAACTGGGCTTTTTTTAACAAATTCTTTGTTTCATAACAACGAAGGAGACAAAGACTGACAAAGACAACACTGTAAAGACAAAAAAGTTACAAAAACTGTTTTCACGAATCAGAAAACTTCGCTTTTTTTTAAACTGATAAATTTTTTTTTGAAATCAAATGTTTGGGTTTAATTAAATTTGTCAGGGGCGTACACGGAGGGTCCAGGGGTCCGCGACCCCCCCTTCTTTTTTGTTGGCTCTCCGCCGCTTTCTATTGAAAACGCATCTATAGTATCTTAATTTCAAAAATTTTTCTTGGGAGGCCCCCAGACCCCCCCCTTCGCGCTGCTACCAGTTTGGCCGTTACGGTTAAACCCCCACCTGGACAAATCCTGTTACACGCCCCTGCTTTTTTCGGTATCATATTTGTGAAATTGACTATCTTTGCTCTTATTGTTCGTTTGAAAAGTCCAAATTTGGTTTGTGTTTGCGGTATGATCACCGACCCACCAGAAATAAATCCTGGATACACCCTGCTATTCTATATCATATCTACTCCACCACTTCATCTATCTATCTTTATCGAAAAGCGCGCGCGCACGGCACGGTACAGACCTTACGAACGCACGCCACACACGCACGTAACAGACATACGAACGCAACGCACACACGCCACGTACAAGACATTTATTATATTACGATACTGTGTATCTCACGCACGCACACACGCACGTACTGACATACGAACGAACGCACGTCGCACGTACCAGAACATACGAACGAACGAACGCACTCTATCTATCGACTGTATTGCTGACTCAACGATTCTGTCTAACGCATTGTCGTCACTGTCTATATATCTATATCGAACGAAAGACGTATCTTAGTGACTATGTTTATCGAACGCACTGCGTCTTCTACGTACAGATATGACGGAACGAACGCACCGTCCGGTACGTCTCTCTAATTATCGCGTGTAAGTGAGCTGTGATTGTACGACGGGCACGCACCCGTACAAAACATACGAACGAGTGCACGCACGTACAGACATACCGATGCTATACGTATCTCGGTAGGTGGTGGTGACGGGGACGTAGACGGCATTCGTCACGCATCGTGTGTGCCTTACGATTATACGAGAGCATCTGGCACGCAGTTACAGATCAGTTACGAACGGGATGTACGAAGCGCACGCAGCGCACGTACAGACATGTACGAAACGAACGCGCGACGCATCGCATCTGTTACAGGACATTGTGCGACGACTGGGGGAGGCGTCTAAATTTGCTCACACCAACCGCCGGGAACGCACGCACGTCACGCTACATACATATCGAACAAACGAACGCACGCACGCAGTACAGACATACCGATACGACGCACCACGCACGTACAAGACATGCGAACGAGAAGGCGCACGCACGCAACGGTACAACATACGGAACCATACGCACGAACGCACGATACACAGACATACGAACGCGACGCACGCACGTACATACATAGCGAACGAACCGAACGCACGCCACGCACGTACAGACATCAACGAACAACGCCAACGCCACGCACGCTACAGACATGCAACGAAACGCCACGCACGCACGTACAGACATACGAACGAACGCACGCACGCACGCCCCTGTTAGTAATACTAAAACAAGTTACCATGGTATATGCCAATTGTATTACCCATAGGCATAGATATAGCATTAAATAGGAAAAACAAGACAAGCGCCAGTGCAGCACTCGGTAAGTTATTAGTAGCACGTTATAGTGTTGCCGGCGTTATATTTGTATGCCACCTATATAGAATTGTAATAATAGTGTATGATGGGGGCCCAATGTCACATAATTATATATAGTATTTGTATGACGGGGACCTAAGGCCACCTATATAGTATTGTAATAATAGAATAGTGTATGGGGTCCCAAGGCCACATATATAGTATTGTATATGACGGGGGCCTAAGGCCACCTATATAGTATTGTAATAATGGAATAGTTTATGATTGGGGCCCAAGGCCACATAATAGTATTGTATATGACGGTGGCCTAATGCGATCTATATAGTATTGTAGTGTATAGTGTATGCTGGCGGCCCACCAAGGCCACATATATAGTATTGTGTATGAAGGGGGCCTAAGGCCTCCTATATAGTAGTGTCTGGTAAGCCTTGGTTGTAAGCTATACCGCCTCCAGCAAAGAAACGTAGGCTGCATCACTTGCAGTGTATTATTGCGCCAGCGGGGCCCTAGGCCCCTGGTGGCTCAAGTCCACACTTGGATGTGGATATCTGTCGCCTGCTTGCTGCCCATGGACGCCCTCTATACTGTTGTACAACAGCTATATCTCTCCTAGCTGAGACCTACTACTTTACCAGGAGTGTATAATAATAGCTAGCTCTATTATTATACACGTCCGACTTTACTAATGCTGTGAAAACGTGTCAGCGTTGGTCTCTAATGGCAGACAAAGCTGCTTATGTCCAATGATTTTTCCATATCCGTCTAAACAATATAGCTTTCATCTTACAAAGAGACCGATTGGTGCTTCTCGGCGTGTTAATCAACTGACTGATACACTGAGATAGGTAACCGTTGTTGACAACAGCCTCATTCCTGATAACATGATTACCGATGACCATCAAGTCATTAGCCCAAGTTCAGAAAATAGTGTTAACAATGGTTAAATGGCAATTAATTAGCAAGTACAGATACACCTGCTGCACTACTGCTGCTGCTGCTGCTGCTGTCACGGCTACTATTCGGTCTATACTAATCAACATCCAATGAGGCTTTGTACTACTCTCACACTACTCTTGACAGCTGATGATGTGACCGTTTGTGGGTTTGAACGTAAGCAGGATCCCGTGTCAACCACAAAGAAGCACAATAGTGATTTCATCTGCCAAAATGTGTTTTATTTATCAGTTACTAATAAGAAGGCATACAACAAGCTGGTGATAATACATGGGTTGTACATGGCGCTCTTTACATGGAAACCGGCGGGGACACACAAACGCTATCGCGTCCGGAAAAGGACACGCAAAACTTAAAATAGTTACACTCGCGCATATAATGAAGCAGGAAGATATCCACACCGCGTTCCTCCCCCCCCTAATTTTTTTTTATTTCGCTTTTAGCACTCCCATTCTTCGTACTCGCAGCACTGCACTTTCCTTTTTTTCACACATACTACATAACGCGTGCATGCAACATCTCGACGACGAATACACCGTCGCCGTCATCCGACCAAACACATAAATGCAGCCCTGGTATGAATCTACTCCTGCAACGACAACATGTGTGCACGAGAGAAAGAGAGACAGCGAGAGAGAAAGAAACACGACAACGATCAACGTGAACTGTTGCAAAACGGGTGTTTGTTTCCGAAGCTATGGCCCAGCTACTCTGCGCCGTGGCGACGTGCGACCGCCGTAGCGTAAACGTTCCTCTCCGCGCCTTGCCGGAGACATAAGAGACAACCACGCGGCACGAGCGTTAGCGAAACACTCCCGCCTCTGCCACGCGCCCCCAAGCGAAACGTACACACCACCGTCGCGCCTGTGTACATAGGTCACGCGCCGCTTCTACTGCCCACGTGCTCAGGTGAGCGACTCGTGAGAGAAAAAGAGGCGCGGGCACTAACTACACGGTCACCCCGAACGCTCTCCCCACGGCAGGCGTGCGGTAGCTCCGGCGTTGCCGCGGAAGCGACGACAACGAGGAAGGACGTGGGTGCTAGTCGCAGTTGTCGGGGTTGCGTTGCCGCGGCGCCGCGCGGATCACGTTGTCGACGCGCAGCACCATCTCCGCAGCCTCCGACGCACTGATCACCATCTGCCGCTTCACCTGGTACGACTCAGTAACGCCGAGCGCCTGCACATCGCCAATGCAGCCCTCGTACATGTCTGCAGAGAGAACGGCAGCGGGGGAGCATCGTTAGTATTTAATAGAGAGAATACGACGAGGATAGAAGATAATACAATAGAGAGGGAAAGGCCGATGCAGCCATCGTACATGTTATCTGCAGAGAGAACGGCAGCAGGGGAGCATCGTTAGTATTTAATAGAGAGAATACAATGAAGATACGAGATAATACGATAGAAAGAGAAAGGCCGATGCAGCCCCAGTACATGTGTACAGAGACGAAAGAAAACGCAGCGGGGGGGGCTAGCGCCCAATGTATTTCAAATCTGCATGCGATCCGGCATGGCTTGCGAAATTACAGCAAACCGCCTATATTACAGGTCTAACAAGTGGCAGACGCCGCCCCGCGTGGCTGCTGCTGGCAAGCGACATGCGTGACGTGGTGGGGGTGTAAGCACTTACTCAGTCCAGCTGCGATGTTGCCTGCCTTGTGTTCGGCTCTCAGCTTGGACACGAGCTCTGCGCTGTCGTAGCCCGCGTTGTCGGCGATGATAGTAGGCAGCTGCAACACACACGCCAACAAACGCCAATTACGACGAACCGTTGAACGACACAAGGCGAGTGACGAAAAATTAACACTCGCCCAGTCGCCCGAGACGAGTCAAAATTACGTCACCAACTACACATTGTTCAACTAAAATCTCCAAACAAGCACACCCGAGCGTGTAGACACCATGCTGAATTTGTAAGACCCCCCTCCCAAACTTTTCAGCCTGAGTCGGGTGAGGGAAAACAAAATTTTTTTTATTGTAACCTGAGCAAATGAATGACTTGAGCGAAAGGAAGTGTTACTATCATGGACGTACCATCGTCAGGGCCTTGGCGTACGATTCAATAGCCATGGCTTCTTTGCCGGGGGTTCTGCTGGCGAGGTCTCTCGCAGCATTGGCCATCAGCATCTCTGCGCTACCTGCATTACAAAATCGGCATTGACATTGTCGTCACACGAACAAACCTTCACAGGTTCACAAATCGCTCATCCTTATCAACAAACACGCAGCAACCCCAGCACGATAGTGAACTGATTGGAGGGTAGGCCCAAAAAAAATCAACAACCTCCCACTATGGCCTCACAAATACGTAATATAGCCGCATGCAGAGCCTAAGGTAATTAAAAGTTTAAATTATTAATTAAAAGAATTAAAGACTTCAGTCGACAATCAGTCGCAATCGGTCGATCAGGGGGGCGGCACCATTTCTCACGCACGGCAGCAGCGCCCCCTGCTGGACTTACCTCCGCCGTACACGGTCCTCGTCTCCTTGACTGTCTGCGTGAGCACGCAGAGGGCGTCGTGCAGCGAGCGCTCCGCCTCATCCAGGATCTGTGCGGTGGCGCCACGCAGCACGATCGTGCACGCCTCGCCCAGCGGCACACCTGGTGAGCAACGACGACAACATGTAGACCGATGACACGCGACGCATCGTCAATTCGATAATTGATGGTTTAATTTATTAGAAAATAAAGTTATAACGCCTAATTTAAATTATAAGTTTATTCGTCCGTGTCAGTCAAAAAAAGGCAGTGCCAAGTTATGTTGACACTGACAGTCAGCTAGTCCACCCGACTAGTCGTTACTCTAATCTACTCATCCGTAAGTAAATCTAGTAGTTTCGGACTAAAAAACCACCGTTAATTTCGAACCCTAGGTGCAATGCACACCACTTTACAGACAAGAACTCAACATGTCTGACTCAGTCTAATCCATAGCACAATCAAGGTAGGCATCAGTGTGTTAGCCAGAGACTTGTCTACCCGTCTTTTGGACGGTCTATTCTTGGATGAGACAGATGAAATTTGATAAAGACAGCAAGAGGGCGGCCCAATTTTATATATTATACACCTTGTATAACTGACAATAGTGCTTATAAGAATATAAAATTCCTGTCGTTTTGGCATTTCAGTCTAAATTTCCTCCATTTTAAGGTAAGGCCCTCCCCCATAGGGCGCTTCGTGCCCGCAGCATCCTCGCTTCGCTCAGATGGTGAGACGCCCTGATTTTTTTCCCTGGCTAACACCCTGGCCGCCAAGGATTCACTCATGGCGCGTTCATATTTACCACGTCGTTCTCTCTCTCTGGCCATCGCCTACCTGAAAACTTCAGCAGCCTGTCCTCACCGATGATGACCTCCTCAATCAAATCACACTTGCCCAACTTCACCTTCTCCGGGTTTCCAAACGTAGACACAATCTCGCCGCCTGCGGGTGGAGGGCAAACGACAGTTTCAGTGTTTGTCTCTATGCATACATTACGCATTTCGTACGTACTACGGACCTTTCATTGCACAAAACCCCGAGATTCCACCTTCAAAATGCCATATCAAGGCCACGAATTACCCAAATTCTTCACTGTCACCAAGCAAAAGGCTGGAAAATTCGCCCATCAGGTTTCACGGCCAACCTAGCACCTGACACATCATCATCACTGCGGCTGTGCGAGCTCCGCTATTCTACTCCGTCATTGCCATGCCCACCGCTGCCATCGCACGACCGAGCCCCAAACTCACCTGTGACCAGTGCCAGCCTCTCGATGCCCTCAAAGTCTGCGTGTTCGATCGCCATGACGCCGCTGTCTGCAAACAGCTGCTCTGGGTAGTTGTAGATCAGCTGCCTGCAATGCAACACGCTCATTTCACTCACACCGCGCGCTCGAGAACGCTGATGTGAGAACGAATCGGAGGGTGGGTTATGATATGCATTGCATTAAACATAATAGCAATTAATATAGTATACATATTATAATATAAATACACACACATATATATATATACATAGTATAGTATAGTATATATAGTATATATATACACATAGTATAATATAGTATAGTATACATATTAATATAGTATACCACTACGTTATCTCTGCTATCGGATATGTAGGATTTTGATTACAAACATGATGGATAAGCAATTTTAGATGCTTTCGTGATACCATAAAATGGCATATGATTGTGGTCCCACCTGGCAACGTTTATTTTTCACATTATAGAAAGGAAGCTGATAAGAGATCCTGTGTATACAATAATAGAATGTGTAATCTCTATGCAGCAGGTAATATAGGAAGCCATATGTGAATGAAGCCAATAACGTGAAACACGCAATTACACACAAGCTTCCGCGCACCCCCTGCTACCATTTCTCATATCAATTCACTAGTATCCTCCTTCCCATAATTAATTTACGACCGAACAAAGAGATGAAGCAATAAAGTGTGCAAAATCCTCACTGCAGCTGCGATATAAAACATGTAGTCACAATAGATGGTTATCCATGTATACTCATGATATTACGTTAGATTTCATTATATGTATTTTCGCAGTGGTACGCATGTGTGTGTGTGCGTGCGTGTGTGTGTGCATGCTCGCGGTTCAGTGTCTTGCGCGATGGCGTGCATGCCTTTGTATGTGCGTACGTGTGCACGAGTGTTTGCGTGCATGTGTGCGCAGACATGGCCTTTGCAAAGGCTTGCTTTTTCACTGCATGGCTCGATCCCCCCCGCCCCCCGCCCCCCCGATTCGCTTTCCAGACCCCGTCAAATTTGAAGATTTCAACGCTTTTATTACATGATTTCATCGTTTAAAAAAAATCTCCCCTCGAGTAAATAGATGGGACCCTTTTTTAAGGCGCCCTGTTTTTCGCAAGGGAAGCCTGGCCTTTGTTGTGCGTGTTGTGCAAGTATTTGTGTGTGTAATGTGTGTGTTGTGTGTGTGTGTGTGTTGTGTGTGTGTGTGTGTGTGTGTGTGTGTGTGTGTGTGTGTGTGTGTGTGTGGTGTCTACAGGTGTGCCATTCGTGCAAGTATTTCTGTGTGTGTGTGCATGTGTGTCTGTGTGTGTGTGTGTGTGTGTCTGTGTGCATGCGTGCAAGTATTTGTGTGTGCATGTGCGTGCGCATGCGTGCGTTTGTGTGCGTGCCAAGCGTTTGGTATGTGGCTATGCGGTGTGGCGTGCGCAGCATTTGTGTGCATGCGTGTGCGTGCGAGCGTTTGTGTGTAAATAAGAGCGTGCGTTTGTGTGTAAATGCGTGCGTGCATTTGTGTGCGTGCGAGCGTTTGTGTGTAAATGCGTGCGTGCATTTGTGTGCGTGCGAGCGTTTGTGTGTAAATGCGTGCGTGCATTTGTGTGCGCGTGCGTGCATTTGTGTGCGCATGTGGTGGTGCGTGGCAGTTTGTGGTCGTAAATGCACGTGCGTGGCATTTTGATGTTGCGTGCGAGCGTTTGTGTGTAAATGCGTGCGTGCATTTGTGTGCGTGCTGTCGCGTGCGAGCATTTGTGTGCGTGCGTCGGTGCGCAGCGTTTGTGTGCGTGCGTCCGGCGAGCCGTTTGTGTTGTGCTGTGCGCGCGAGCTAACTTCATCTACGCACCTGTTGATGAACACGTTGCTGAGCCGTGGCCTGAGAATGAGTGCAACTTTTCCTTCATACTTCTGCTTCTCCGCGACGTCGAGTCCCGCGAAGCCTTTTTGACACGCGTCGACGCGAACGCGAGAGCCAAACACCTAACGTCACAACCCTCAAGGTTAGCAAGATGCCGATGTTTACCGTTTTGACACCTACGGCAATCAACACACAATGTTCGTGAAAGGAAAGACCATCTTTGCTAAAAAAAAAACTTCGACTTGAACAATTCATTTGTAAAAACAAGTGATCACCTTGAACTCCACGATTCGAATTTACTAAATAATTTAGAGATAAAGTAGAAAAAGGTGGAAATGAAATAGAGAACGAATTATGTTGATCAGTCCTTTGTCAGCTCATATCGCTGCCAGCTCTTTAGCAGTTATTTATATATATATAATAACAAAATAACCACCAGACAATTCTGCGCCATTCCATCAACATCCCTCGCAAAGCTACGTACATACTAATAATCTTACACACATGCTTTACAAAGAGAACACGCCAACAGAACCTGCGCGGCAACACACGAACCTACGCAAACGCAAAAGCGTGCGTTCGCGACAGAACCTGAAAAAAGAAAGAAAAAAATGAAGAAAACGAACGATGCGAACGCATCGCGCTGCGGCGTCGCTCCACCATAACTTTGATCTTGCTCCGTGTCCCTATGGCGCCGTTGTTCGTGAGGCAGGATCCTTTGCACATTTCTGGCACTGCCGGCCTTCGGCTGGTTGATGCCCATCTTACTTTGTCGAGGAAGGGCTCATGGAAAAACCACACTTCATCAACGGTACGATGTCCGTCATGCTGCCGCCGAGCTTTTGATCATGCTGTGATCGCTGTCAGGTTGCCCGAACCTGGCGAGAAAACACGAGAACGGCTGTGACGTCTCCCGTTGTCGTCCTAGCGCGCATGCGCGCGTTCTGCTCGCTTCAGCGACATCTCAGTAATATTCTTTTAAATTAAGCTTTTAATTTTAGGATTTTTTTTTCTAATACTTGTGACTACATACTCAACTATTGTTTTAATATCATTGTATCTCGCAGTGTAACGATATATCTGCCCGTATACATATTATATTTCAATTCTACTTGTTCATTCTCGTTGCGATATCGATGTGCTGCGCTTTTGATAATTTTATGTAAAAAGGCACAATATAAATAAAATAATAAATAATAAATAATAATAATATGCCTCGCTTCCTGCTAGCTGGGCATTATGGTATGGTCGTCGCGACACCAAACGGAAAGCCTCTTTCTTATCGGATAACCAAAAGCTGTCACATGGACCTCACGTGTTTGGTGACGGAACGCAGAGTGCTTATTTAATTGACCCAATGGCCCAATTCTAGATTTCATGAGGGACAACAACTTTTTATAATTTTCGAAATATTCAATGTGACATGGCTAATAACCAAAGTTGCTATAACGTTGCAAAGGGGAAAAAACGACATCAATGTAGTACCATACCACGAAATATTCGAAAAAGTGCAAATTTTGGTTTCGAGAAGCTTTCGCGGCATTCATCCATGCCCCCCCACC